ATGTACACATCCTTGGTTCCAAAGTCAGGAGTTTTTTTTTTTTTGGGATGAAATCCAAAGTCAGGAGTAGGTGGCGAAGAAAACCGAGGGTTCCGGTTCGGTCGGTTGGCTTGGCTTGGCGCCAAGGGCGGGATGCTGGCGCCATGGCCTTTGGCCTATGCCCACGGGCCACGGGAGAGGAGAGACCCAACCACCCCTACCCCTCCTCCTCCTAGGTCCTAGTGCACGCTGCATCATCATGTTCAGGTAGCAGCTGCAGCTCATCAGCCATCCCATCATCACGCACCACCGCAGCAGCACACCCTCGCTTGACCTTTGCCCCTCTCTCTCTCTTTTTATGTGGTTCTGAATCAGAGCCTCTTTATTAAAAAAAAAATCAGAGCCTCTGATGTAGGAGTAGTACGTGTGATCCCTTGTCCACACCACACCCTGATGATGCCTTGCACTGCACCCAAACTCCTGGCCCAGCCGGTTTCACTCGACCGGTTGCTCATTGATTTCTAGGCGGATAATGCCGGCGGATGCTGGTTTACTGTGAGAGGAAAACACTGTTGGCTGGCTGATAAGCTCTGGCTGAAATCAATAAGCGAACAGGCTATCACGTGGTAGTTGCGCTGCTAACCTCCCTGCATGTTTATCTAGAAGAGATTGATACTGGATGTATACACACATAAATTTTGTAGTGGTGCAGTAGCGTTCCTGGTTGATCGATGTTAGCGTCGACAGTGACGGTATCGATTGAGACTCGATCAGGATCTTGGAGAATTATTCAGGAACCAGCTGCAGAATAGCATGATTATTGTATTGCTGCCGCTGGAAGTAATGCTAATACAAAGTACGTATATGATTTTCTTTGAGAAGGATACATACACTAGATTACAAGCAGAGCGTCCTAGATTATCTTTGAGATCACCTTTGGTGTGTAAGTGTAACACGTACAACCCAGAATCAAAAGGTTTGCAGTTGACAGTCGTTAAACAGTACGGTACCACAGTAACACAGTCGCAAGGCTTATATTAGCACATGCACGGTGCACCCTTCTAGAAGCACAAGCACATCCACAATTTGACAACGGGGTCCTGTACGCTGGCGTCGCGTGCATGGCCGGCGGCGACGTCGCCGGCAGGATGGCCGCACGTAGGTCGTCGGGAAAGGTGGGCGGGCGCGACGCTACGCTAGTCGGTAGGCCTAGGACGTGGCCTGGGTATTCGTCAGACAGACAAGCGCGCGAGCGCAGTGGATGGCGTGGAGGACTGCAGGTCAGTCGGCGTCGGCGTCTCTGTTTGTCAACCCGACTGGCTGGAGCACACTCCCGCTTCCTTCGCTTGCAATTGCAAGCATCGACAGCGAGAGCCACCCAACCGGACTTAATGCGCGCCACCACCAACCGACGACTAATTATTTCAAATTTTTTCTTTATTTTTTCACTCACTATCTAATATATACACCCTATGTTTGAAATTATAGATCGTTGTGGTTTTTCTAAACCTTTTGCTACACAGTAAGATGCACCTCTAGTCCTCAAAATCCTCAAAATTAGATGTCATCTAGATCCATAAACTTCTAAAGTAAACATCCATGCAAGCATGGTTAGCTTAAGTTTTGACAATTTGAGTCCTACGTGACACGATTAGTAAGTTTAGCAACAGGGCATGTATTTTGGAAGCTTGGAACCTAGATAACACCTTAAGCCACGGTGAAGAACCGTAACATATTTTTAACTGTTTGCTATATAACATTCTCGATATACACTATATCTAAATAAACAATAAAAGCATGTATCCATAAAAGTCAAATTTAAGGTGGACATAATATTTGTTTTTAATGAAACAAACTGAGACTGGCTGATATACAGTTATCTCATGCGAAAATGAGAGAAGGCACGAATGCATGGTGGTCGTGACGCCACAAAACTTTGTGATGTCAAAATCCGATGACGTCACGGTGCTTCCGCTCTACTCCTTTTCCAGAAAACGACTAATAATAAGGCTGCAACGGAACGCCTTTGCATTTGTTTTCTTGATTGAACAACCACTCATCGCTCTTGCACCTCCACTGCCCACCATATATCCTTTATTACTTTTGATTGATCCGGTAAAGGTGTCAGAATCCTGGCTGATGACGCCAACTAACTCGGCTGCTCGCCAGGCACGCCCAACGCTAGCTAACAGCACCGTATGCCCCAGCTCTGAATCCAGTCGGTCCACGCATGCAAGCAAATACCAATACCAGGGACGTGCATCTCCCATCGTAGGCAGGGAGATGGGATGGTCGGTTGCTAAATTTTTTTAAAACCGATCGGTTCCTGTTTCGTAGGAATCGAATTTCATCAGAGAACCGAACGCCCACCATTTGTCAGGAGCTTTTACAGTGCATGGAGCAGCCTTTCCTGCTTTCACTGCTCCCGAAGCAGTTGCTTTTCCTCCCAACGCGTTTTTCATCGGTGGCTTCTCCTTTGTCAGCTGAGACTACCGGCTCATCTCCAGGAGACTACAAGTCCGTTCGCGTGGCCTTAAATTTGGCTTGAATTCGCTTATTTTTTTATTCGGAAAAGTATTTTTCTCTCACAAATTCCTCCAATATTTCTCGAAACCATCCAGATAACCCTCCAAAATTCAAACAGGCGAACAGGCCCTGCGAACAACTTTGAGACCACCACTCTCGGTGATATGGAGCCTGGACGTCTACATGGATGCTGGGGCAGTACGCCATGGCGTTGCATTGGTGAAGCCCTAAAATAGCAGTAAAAAGATCTTGCTACTAGCTAGGACATCAAATGTACTAGCTGAAGCTGAAAGCTTCTCTGTAGCGTCACGGCTCAGAAAAACAAGGGCGTAAAGCCAAGACCAAGAGTTAGGTCTCGGTTCAGCTCGTCACAATCTACCTTTTAGATGGAGATTAATAGGTGAGCTGTGCTTGTATATTGGTTCTTTTAGCATCACTAGTGCAGAATTTGCAGTAGTGGTTAGGGTGGTTCGTTTCGTTTGTCATTTAGTACGGCGTCATCCGAAACCGCCGTCATGCTAGCAACCGTGATCGCCACGTGCTACTTATTACAAACTGATTTAGGTATCACTGGTTAACTAATACAACACTGTATACCTACGAGTGTATCCTTAAAAATGATCCAATTCTAGATCTATAACTAGTCAGAGCATCTAAAGTTTGACAAGTATATATGGAAAAAACCAATATTTATGGCACCAAATAGGTGTGTTATAAAAATATATTTTATAATGAATCCAGTGATACTATAAATATCAGAATTGTTTTATAAATTTGGTCAAACTCAAGATGGTTTGACTTGGTGCTATGCTAGAATTGTATTTTTTCCGGACAGAAGGAATACTCCCTAGTAAAGAAATTATTTTTCTAAGGAAAAGAGCAGCAGTCGATTTCCTTCAATCTTGCCGATCACGGGGTGAGAGTGAAACAGTGTTTTAAGAAGCATGAATCACACGGTGAATCTAAAGTCAAATCCTCAAGTGGTGAGCCATGCAAATATTTCCCATTTTGTGTGGTCTCCCATTTGCACCATCAAGTGGGGGAGATGGTGTACATCTTTCTTTTCCTTCCATTGGGTGCAGTGATGATGATCTTCATTGCCACTCGAGCAACTGCCAACAGGCAAGGCAACCTTGCAGCTGCAGAGCAGGAGCTAATGGACAGAGCAGTGGCAAAGTGGTAGCTGGTGCCTGCCTCCAAATATTGTGCAGCAGCAATGAGCAATGGCCGGCCGGTCGGTCGGTGAGTACCCGGTGCTTATTTCACACCACGCCGTGTCCTGCAAGTCAAGATGAGTCTGAAAAGTGAGGGGTCGAGTTCACAAAGAATCCGACGGGTTCGGTTGGGTTAGGTCTGAACCCACTTTGGCCTTTTAGTCTTGCTTGCTTTGACCGCTCGAGGTTTCTTTGCAATTGCAGCGACAAGTGTGCTTCCAGAAGTCCCACACTGGCGCACAATGGTGATGGGCTCGCCAACTTGTGCCGAGAACTCCTGCATCAGAATTCAGAAGCACCAAACGGAGAGGGATACAAGCATCTGTGTTTCTACTATATACACATGTACTGAATGTTTTAAGGCGCAACCTTTGAAAATTCAGCTTCAGAAACGCCATACATATGCAACAAGCCAGGACAATAGCTTCTGGACCCAACTATTCTCACCCAACTCTTGCCACATGAATACACGATTAGTACATTGTAAATTAAGAAGACTTCCTCCAGTCAGTCTTTCACAAATGCATATAGGAGTATAATATCAGCAACGGCGCACCTGATCCAAGAGTGACAATGGCATATCAAAATCATGTACAGCTTGTGGACAAGATGTCCTACCTGGAATACTGTAGTACATCCAGCCAAATCTTGACAGTTCTTTCAGTTCACCCAGGAATTGCAGTTCTGTCATCTCATACTTGTTTAGTTGATTTGCCTCCATACCATTGGGGAAACCAATATATCTCTTCTTTTACACCAACATGAGAGTCGCCTTGTGTAGTTGTGTATGTTTTTGGGACATGTTTGGCTTTTGTCAATCACCTTACACTTAGTAGCAGTATTAGTATGGCAGATCACCTGACAGTCTGAACAAAAATAGTTGATGCATATAGTAGCTGGAAATTTAATAACCAATGGAGAAAAACTATGGAACTCTGGTTCGCACTGGCCATTGAGATTAGATTTCATTTAACTTTATTTGTATAGTCATAAACTTTCACTTAATTTTAGTCGCTGAATCATTAGAACACCAAAGTTCAAAATTTGCTGAGACAAGACAACTACTGAAAATCAATTCACATTGCTGGGAAAGGTAACACACTAAAACACAATCTTTATTATATAATCAGCAAACAGGATAACACTTCTCCAGGGATTTATTACAACTTTCAGGCCACCCACAATGCATTACAGGTCCCAAGAAAGGTACGAGACACGCAAGACGGCAAGAGCCATAAACTCTTCTCAGTGAAGCACATACTACAATGGTCCCGAGTTGATTCAGTCCTTCTGGAGCCTTAGTGTGAAGGCCTGAAGGGACAAGAGCACTTGCTTGAGCCGCTCTCTGATTTGAGCATCAATCAGATTTCCATCGCTGTCAAACTTGGGTGGTTGCTGAAATGCTTGGACGCACAGTTCAGGCTTGTTGATGAAATGAAGATCCAAGAATACCCCAACCTGACGGAGATGGTACTGTGACCTCCCTCCTCCAAAGCCACCGCCTGCACTCACAATTGCAGCAGGTTTGTCTGCCCAACAGTTCTTTCCTCTAGAAGCCCAGTCAAGTGCATTCTTCAGCGGGGCTGCAATTGTAACACAAACCATGTAAATGAAGCAGAAATGGTGAATTGTAAACGCAGGCTACGATTGTAACACAAACCATGTATCATAGCTAAAAGAAAGGTGAATTTGGGTAGTTTTGGCATTATGATATTGTAGCATTGTCTTAAAATAACACAACCACCGCAGGAATACTGAAACCAACGACTCATATCAATGTTAGGCAAGTTAACCAATGAAATCCGTAAAAATGTCAAAAATTTGTGTACTCATAATCAGACAAAATGGAGAGGCACCCATTGATATACAAATAGCAATGTTGAATCAACATCAATCTATGCATACTTAACATTGCGTGCAGCATAAATTACCTGGCAAACAACACTTTAAGGAACTTTGTAAAAACTAATTCGAGATATCAGGTCTTGGGAACAAATATAATGATGCAGATAATACTACGGTGTCCTAGACCTATCATTGACTGCATGGTAGAAGATGTATTCAGTGCCACAGAAGGTTACAATCTACATTGCAGGTTCAAATGTGAGTTCATGGAATGACACAGTAGATTCATCTCCAAGATAATGGAGTGGAATTATGCACTTCATAACATGTATGATACTAATACGCAAAACTTATATTGCATTAGAATAGCAAATGAAATGGAATAGCCATGATATTTTTGGGGAATGGGCTTTCTTCAGCTCAGGGGGTAAAGGGATGCCAATATAGATATTAATTAAGATGGCTAAAAATCTTCTTAATATAATGATAGGCAGCTCTTTTGTGTGTTCGAGGGGAAAAAAACAAGAGGATTAAAAGGGAGCATTTCTTAGTGGTTGCCAGTAATCTGTGAACTAAACCAACATCAAAGTCAGCAGAAAGTATGAAGGAAAGAATATTGACGTGCCCCTCTGTTGATAAGGTTTTGCAAGAAAGGAATAAAGGAAAAGCATACACATCATGGGAGACATGCCTTTGCTAAAGGCCAAATGCCCCCTTTTTTTCTTCGAGTAAGGCAATTTCACCATCACGGACTCAGTGTACCGACAACATAATCTTAAGTTCCTGTTTGATGGAGAATTATGTGAACCTAACACCCTAATTGTGCACCACGATAATTGGGAATCAAATCGATCCCACCCATTGTGCACCATGCCAACCCAATGTGAACCTAAATTGGCAGTGGCAGCAATGCACAGGGTGACATGGTCCCAGAGGTACACAGTACAGTTCAGTATGCCTAAATTGTATTTCAACTGAATGTTAAAAATCAAAGAATTAAGTCCACTTTTGGCCCCTCAACTATCATGTTGGTCTAATTTTGACCCTCAACTACAAAACCGTCTGGTTCAGGAACCTCAAGTTTGAAAACCGTTCACTCTTGACATCTAGACACGGTTGTGGCTGTTTCATGCCGACGTGTACCTGGTTTTGACCCGCAAAGCTGGCTTTGACCGCCACATAGGACGCATGCACGGAGGGATAGCCGCGCTCGCAACCGATTTAAGCCGCAGAGCGCCGCCTCCGCCGGACTCTTCGCGCGCAGGCCGCACCTCCTCCGCCGGCCACCGCGGCCCACTCCCCGAGCGCAGGCTCTCCATCGGCGCGCCGGCCGTCGTCATCTTCGTGGGCGCGCGCTCTTACTCACCGACACGCCCAGCAGCCTCGTCGTGCGCGCCCGCGCCGCACTCACCCGGGTACGCTGGCCCAGCGCGGACGTCTGCCAGCTCACCGGCGTCATCGTGCTCGTCTTCTTCGCGTCATCGAGCTCGCCACGACAGAGCAGCCGTCTGCCCTCTGCCGCTGCACCTCTCCCTCACCCTCCGGGAAGAGCATCCAGCGGCGCGGGTGGAAGCGCGGGTCCAACAGGGCGCGGCCGCGCGGAGAGGCGGTGGTAGCGCACCAGTGGGAGCAGACCACGCGGAAGCGGAGGTAGTCCAGGAAACCTCTCGACACTGGAGCGTGCCCGACCCCGGCGGCCCTCCCACCGCCGTCTCCGGCGTCCGTTGCTGCACGAGATCCGCTGCTCCTCCTCGTCGGAGATCTCCTGGTGCTCCTCCCCGATGTAGATCCCCTGCACCCGACGCTCCAATCGCCGCCGCCCGCCGGAGATCTCCTGGTGCTCCTCCCCTCGCTCTAGTCCGTCACAGCGCCGAGGCAGGCGAGCACGAGCACCCGGAGACGCCGAGGCAGTGCGTCACGGCGACCGCGGATGGAGCTCGGCCGCGCCGCTCGGCCACCGCGTCATGGCTTGGATGCGCCGGCGAGCTCCTCTGGACCACCCCGCGGCAACGACCTCACCCATGGTTGCCGGCCATCCCCGCCCTTGCCCGTGGCTCCACTGAATCTCGCTCGCACAGCTCCAGACGGAGTGTCTCCTGTTGCCCTCAGCTTGAAGCTCTGCTGCACATCGACGAGAACACCTACAATCATCGCGTCCTCTTCTCAGCGAGCTGCGGTGAGTTGCTCTGAATGTCTCTCTGTTCTGAATACTCAACTGCCTCCTGTCTACTCTGAATGTATGCTTGATCTGAATGCCAGAATGTTAGCTGAAAACTCTGAAACCTGCGAGATTGGGCCTCTCGGTTGTCTCCACCTTCTCCTTCGGCTTTCTCCTCGGGATGGGCAGCGCGCTGGAGACGCTGTGCGGGAAGGCGTACGGCGCAGTGCAGCTAGAACTGCTGGGCGTCTACGCGCAGCGGTCCGTCATGGGACGCGCTCCGGGGGCTCTGGCGGCCGTGGGGAAGGTGGCGCACCTGCTGGCGGCGACCATGGTGCTCAACAACGTGCAGCTGGTGATCTCCGGGGTGGTCATCGGCGGCGGCTGGCAGGCGCTGGTCGCCTACATCAACCTCGGCTGCTACTACGCCGGTGCAGTTCGGTTGAGTCGATGACGCGTGGGCCCCACATTGGACAAAACCGCTCCGCGTTGCGCAAAACAGCCTCACCCGCGTCCAGGTGCTAAAAGTGAACGGTTTTGACAGTTGGCTACTAGCATAAGACGGTTTTGTGGTTGCGGGTCAAAATTAGACCAACACGATAGTTGAGGGACAAAAATGGACTTAATCCAAAATCAAATAATGAATCGCGTTGCTCAATTTGCCTTCAGCACAACAATGCTGCTGATTGCTGAGTGAGTGAGTGAAACGCCGTCCTAAAGTTTCTGGCGGGAGGCGTTCCACGCCCAAAATACCCCCGACCCCGAGCATTTTATCCATGGCAATCCCCTTCCAATTGGTGCCTGCGGGCAGGAGATCTGAAACGAACGAGCAGCAAGGCAGGAAGGAGAGAGGGGGGCGAAGAGCGTACTGGCGATGGAGTAGTTGTACTCTGGCGCGCCGAAGAGGAAGCAGTCGGCCTGGCAGACCTTGGCGCGGAAGGCCTCGACGGCGGGCGGGAAGCCGGTGCCGCCGCCGGTCTCGAGGTCGGTATTGATGAGGGGCAGGTCGGAGATGTCAAGCTCGTCGACGCGGAGCCCCGGGATGGAGTCCTCGCACACCTCCGCGGCTGCCGGGTAGTTAGTTGGACGAGGAAGCGAAGCCGTGAGTAAGTAGTGATAGGCACGACACGACACGAGGAAGGAGGAGGAGGAGGAGGGGAAGCGTACCGGCGCGGAGGAGGCCGCGGTTGAAGGAGGCCTTGCGGAGGGAGCCGCAGATGGCGGCCACGCGCAGGACGGGCCTCGCCGATGCCGCCGCGGCTTCCATGCTTCGATTTCGAGTTGGGGCGGGGCTGGGAGTCCGACTAGTCGGGTTGGTCGGTCGCGGTGCTGGTGCTGGTGCTCTGGTGCTCGACGCGGCGAGGAAGCCAATAAATACGTCACGCACTCAGCTCGGTCAGCTCCACTGCTCGAGTGCGCCACCGGCGATTCCACGATTCTTTGTCCAAATCATCGGCCAACTTCAGCGTGCTCCATCTACTCCGTTAGTATAGTTTGGTGTCACGGGAGTACGGGACGATCAAAAAGTGCGGCCGGCGGCTAGGAGCAAGTCTTGGGCTCTTCCGCTCTTGGCAGCCGGCGGCTCGTGCTCGTCGTCGGTGGATGTGAGCGTGTGACCTACTGACCTCGACTCAGCTTTTCTTTTTATGACGAGACGAGAGGATGACCTCAGCTCTGGATGGCATCGGTTTGCTGACCAGTTTTTGGGGGCCGCCACGAGTACCAAGAGAGAGAAGGAGCTGCTGGGTGGCCCAGCCTGCAGCCCGTGACGGGCCTTTACCGCGCCGCGTCTTTCTATGCGCCAGACAGCACTTGCGCGTCCAACAAGGAAAGGGGGATTTGGGCCACAAGATAATAGTTGGAAGTACGAGCGAACCTTTTCTTATTTTTCGTGATATAGGGCCTGCTTGGATGCTGTCCAAAATCCGCCCGGCCAAATCCACGGCAGTCCCAAACCTTTGGCGCTCGTTTGGTTTGAAACCAAATAATTGGTGCGCCAAACCTTCCAGCCGAATCGGCAGCGGACACGAGATGTCGAGCGCCAATATTTTGGCCGCATTCACAACACTCCTATTGCCCTCGTTATTTTACAGTATCACCCTCCCACCGACACAGTAGCCACCACTTCCCTCTAATCCCCTCCTTCTCCGTCGTCACTTTTCACGGCCGCCACCACTTATCTCCTCCGTCGCCTGTGCCAGTCCTGAACCTCCACTAGTCCATGGGATCCCGCAGTCCATCACTCGTTCCTATCACAGATTAAAGGGACATATCCTTCCATCCCTATCTTCATAACAGATCCCTTAATCCGTTGGGGAACAAGGAGCATCTTCCCTCATCTGGTGGCCTCTCATCTCTGATTAATCCATCTATTCCTACTAGCAGTGTTTTCCTCCTTCAATCCTCCATCCATTTTCTAGGTATAAGTGTCTAATCTATCATCCGTTTACAGATCTGCTACAACAAAGTGCAGAGGAAAACGCGTATCAGAGGCAATCGCCCTGACTAGATCCGTTGGTCCACTCCTCGGAGGTAAAATCTTTCAAATCGAGTTCCTTTGGTCTCTCTCTCGAGTCTGCGCATGGCTACTGGGCTTACAACAAGTTACTACGATTGTAGTTGTTGTTCCTCATATAGTCGATTCCCAATCGCATAAGCCCATTGCATATTCCTCTGTTAAGATTTCAAGCATTATTTATATGATGGTTAAACAATTCGCCTTGCCCATTAAAAAAAAATTTAGATATAATCGACAATTGTTTGATGCTCCACATCGTGGTACGTTAGTTCAAATCACTTTAGTTTAGTTGCATATATTAGTTTATTAAACCGGCCCGTTCACTAAAGTAATACAATTTATTGGCTACTATACATGCCAAGTACTACTTCCTTTGCCATTTATGCTTGTGCATATCAAAAGTTATTTTAATTAACTTGCTGTTGATACATGCTTTGCATTTTATTTTTGATTTTTTATTCTCGCACATTGCCTACACGCCTACACCTTGATTGGCAATGTTCAAAAAAAAATTCCTCTGTTGATGTATGTCGAGGCAAAAGGCCCTAGCTTTTTTTTCTCTTCTGCTGGCCTTGTGGTGGAGGAACAAAAATCACAAGAGGAGTACAGCCCCAAACGCATAAAGTATGCTCCCTTTGGTGCAAAGGGATATATGGCGTAGTAGTGAGCTAATTAGGTTGATTGATACCTCGGACGAGAATATGTATGCGTGAGCTCAGGATGTCTCTCTACCTGTATTCTACAAGCTTTGTGCTCGGCTTAGGGAGAGGGACTATTAGTTGACACACTTCATGTTTCAAGAGAGGGAGCGGTGGCAATGTTTTTGAAGATTGTTAGGCAAGTACCACACACATTCCTCTCAGAGCAATAGCAATGTGGAGATCGGGATGGACGGTGAGTACATACTTTAATACCAAATCTGCGTGCCATTGTCAAGTTAGCTCCTGAGCTAATTTATGTGAGATCTATATCCACGCACCCAAAGATCACTGAGAGTCATAACAAGTTCTATCCATATTTTGAGGTAACTCTCAATAGTGTAAGCGATTTATCCTTTATATGCAATTTTAGATATAAGTGCTTTGGCACATGTTTGTCTCTGTACATAGGGTTGTATAGGGGCACTAGATGGCACTCACATCAAAGGCATGTGTGCCTGCTAAATCTGTGGATAGGTTTAGGGGCCGCAAGTCATACCCCACACAAAATGTCCTAGCAGTTGTCGACTTCGACCTACACTTTACTTATGTCCTAGCAGGGTGGGAGGGATCCGCTCATGATCTCTCTCGTGCTGCAAGATGCCCTTTCTCGTCCAAATGGACTGAAAATTCCTGAAGGTATTCATGGATTTTCATGGATTTTGAAAATTGACATAATCTCACCGTTATGACGTCACATTAGGCATTATGTTAACTTTGGTTGTAGAGAAGTTCTATTTGGCCGATGCTGGATATGCCACTAGGCCAGGCATATTACCGCCCTACCGTGGAGTTCGCTATCACCTAAAAGAGTTTCACGGAGCTCAAGACCCAAAATGTCCAAAAGAGCTTTTCAATCACCGTCATTCCCAACTTAGGACAACAGTTGAACGAGCATTTGGTGCCCTCAAGAATCGCTTCAAGATTCTTAGCAACAAGCCATTCATACCCTTGAAGTCAAAGGCCAAGGTGGTCATTGCCTGCTGTGCCCTTCATAATTGGATACTAGACGATGGACCTGATGAGTTCATATATGATGAGCCAACTTGGTACAATCACCTACCAAGGAGTAAGAATCGTGTCTCCGATCGACAGGCTGATGTACATGAGTGGGCTATGAAGCGTGATTCAATTGCCCAATAAATGTGGAATGATAGACTTAATAATGATGTTACCATTAACAATTAGTTAGTACTTGCTGCTGTCTTTTGGTTTTGTATAGTTTGGTGGGTGTGTAATCAACTTTAGACTGTAATGCTATTTGTACGCGTGTAAATAATATTATTGTTATGCTTAATGGATTACCTTTCTTTCTATCAAACAAAACATTATTTATTATATGTTTAATAATGTTTGTTACTTACTTTTAAAATGTATTCTTAGCATGGGTAAGGAAAAGAAAGATGGGAATGCAGATGCTGGATCTCGTCAGAAGTGCAAAACATGGACTGATGACAGCACCGAGTTCATGCTTCAGTGGTATATTGACTACCTGAAGGAAAAACCTGCTACCTCTACGTGGAAGCAACACCACCACCATATGTGCGCAGAAGCTTTAAATGCTAGATTTGGACTTGGAGCTACGACACAACAAGTTGATCGCCATTTTAGGACATTCAAGGAGAAGTGGAATTGGATAAAAGTAGCTATGGACAAGAGTGGCTATGGTTTTGATGCAGGATCATGCAAGTTCAATATTCACTATTCAGAGAAATCACCTTCCAAGCTCGGGGTTAGTGTATCCATTTGCATATATGTACGTTTATTTTTCCATATATATGTGTAGACTCCAAGATTATTGGGCTCACTTGTTAATAACTATTGCAGACTGGAAAATACAACTATCTTACGACCTAATAAAATTTTCCATCTTATGGAAGAGCTATTTGGAGAATCTACCAAAGCTAATGGATCCTTGATTGTTGACCAAAGGTAATCGTGGATCTTTGAAGATGATAATAATAGATCGTGGAGTGATGAAGTATATACTCCTGAACATGCTGAGAATGATTCAGACACTATTGCTCCTAGATGCCCACCACTTGTAGGCTCTAGTTTTAGCATTAAACGAAAGAATAAGAAGTCGCCTTGGAAGAAGCATGTAAAGGATAAAGCAAAACGTGCTAGAGCAACAGGGGATGATGAAATAGCTGCAAGTATTGCCATGCTTGCCAAATCCATTGCATCAAGTTGCCCTGCAACTACAGATCCGTATGCTGATCTTTGGAAGCGTATTGAGGATATACCTTTCCCACCGAGGGCAGGTTCATTTGCGGAACTACTTGAATGCTGCATCAGACCAGTCATTTGGAACCTGGGTCACTGATTACCTTGGTGTCAAGTATCGTGTTACTGGTGTGGATAATGGTGAGTATGGTAGCTCCATGTGAATATGGATGCTCAGACTTGTGGCAGTGGGTATGCTATGAATATGGTAGCTGTATGTGAATATGGGTGCTGAGACTCGTGGTATTTTGGCCATGCTTCAGGTGGAAAGCATATGGATGCACTGACTAAACTGGTGTTATTTTGGGTATTTTGGACGTGCTTCATGTCGTCAGCATATGAACTTGTTTATATGGTTAGGATTTCAGTATCTCGTTGTATTATTTTAGCACAGTGGGTATTATGATGTGGTCTTTTTAGATGAAGATGGGTGCATTTGATGATCTGTACATGCACATAATATAGTAACATGCTATCTGGACTTAATCTGTGATGCATAATGTGATTATTAGATAATTGTATGTGTTAGGTATTGAATTATGGGCCTTGGCATATATATTTTGGCATCAAACCAATCAAGGTCCAAAATTTTGGCTGTCCTAGTTTGGCGCCCAACCAAGTGCTATACCAAAATTTTTGCCAAAGTTTTGGCAACCAAATTTGGCATGCCCTAGTTTTGGCAGGGCAAATTTTGGATCCGATCCAAGCAGGCCCATATATAAATCATTTGCTAATTTGCGGTTTGTCTAAAGTAAATCGTCTGCTTAACATGCTCCAAAGGAGGCTCCTATCCCATCTCCGATCGTATTTTGAAGACACGAAGATGTAGGGATGCAAATGCAAACAGACTTGTCCACGAGTCTATAAAACCGGCAAAAATTAAACCAAGCCCTATTGAAGAGGGAGGAAATGACTTCCGACCATTCCTAATCCTTTATTCGCTCAATCTAAAAAAAAATCCTTTATTCACCCCTAATCAACACCCCCTCCCCCTCTTACTACCCTTAGGCTAAGGGATAAAGGTTGGGGACTTTGATTTCAGGCCAGCGATCTATCCTTCGGGAAACAAACTGTCATGCATCACGATAGCTGGCAGACAACCAGAAGTGAAGGAAAAGACAATCAACACCATTCTTGTGCTCCAATCGGTTCCAGCTTCTCCTCACAAAATAATGTAGCGGTAATGTTTTATAGCGTGGAGCTATTTTTATTTCTCTAAGTTAAAATGAATTGGAGAACACATGGAACCGGTAAAAGCTAGCTTGGTTTCACCGGCTTCGGCTCCTACTTGGTACATTATGCTAAGCACCAGGGTCAGGTTCTCGTAGCTTGTTTGGTAGAGCTCATCCTATTCCTGATTGTCTGTGACAAACGATAGTAGTAGAAGTGATTCTATAGCCACAAGTGATTTTTTAGATTCTCCAAGGTAAACTATAGGTAGAAGTTAGGGGAAACTAACTCTTTCAGCTTGTAGCATTCTACTTTACTTTCAGAGAATTACTTTACGAAATCAACGTAGACTCATTTATCTATAAAATGCAGCTTCAACTCCTCCTAGATCCAAAATGTTGATCCGTGAGCTCCGCCAAACCCAAACCTGCCCTTGAGTAGTCGAGTTTATGAACAGATACTCTGGTGGAGTGGTCGTACAGGCTTCGCTGCTTCAGTGCCTCTGCGGCGGTAGGCTAGAGAAGCAGAGACGGAGAGAACCGCAGCTGCAGGCCACGAGGAAGACTACGGCCTCAGCCTTTTGACCCTGCAATTTTTGCCACCAACGGGTGGCGAGAGGCGGCTGCCGCGCCGTACCCCGTACTGCGCGTCGAGGCGAAGTGGACTGTGCGCGGCCGGCCGGCAGCAGGAGCAGGAGCAGGAGCACCCAGAGAGACAGCATCCAGCGCGGAGCAGGCACATGCCGCATTCCAGCCAGGTGGAAGATGCCAACCTTGATCAGCAGTTCTGCTTTCCATCATGCATCATCTATTCATCTTTATTTCCCCGTAATTCGGGTGCGTGATCAAAATCTTCGGGAACACATCTGTTCAAGTTCAGAGAAATCGGCATGCAGTCTGGGCAAAAGGCAACCCATTTCCGGTGAGAGACCGCAGCAACGCGCGTGGGCCGAAGCCATGGATGATTGACGCAGGTCGACCGTTTCTTGCCGCGGTAACACTCAGCCCCGAGCCCCCGACACTGCCTTTGACCACACCCAAATCAGGAGCAACGTTTGCCCGAGGGCCAAGGCTGCATGTCAGCACGCTGACGCTGCACCTCTGAAACCTGATTTTGATTTGACGCGAGCGAGACCCATGGCGAAAAGTGGCAGAGCAGCGGGGGGCAACTGCCCGAGGACGCGTCGGATTGGACGTCGTCTCAGCTTGCCTCTAGAGTCGTGAGCACGGGCAAACCAACGGTGGAGATCACAACCTGCCTCGTTCGTTTAGGCTTGCATGGCTTGACTGAGACCAAACGAACGGGGCGACCGCCCCCGCGACGAACCGACGGGCGAGTGGGCGACGAGCATGCAGTGCAGCTGCGCGTCCCCTCCACTTCTCCCTCTCCCTCTACAAATAAAAACTCACCTTGCATATTTTGAGCTCACTTGCTCCTGGTGGAGCCAGGAGTCTGGAGCTATTTCACTGTTTCGTACAGCAGGAAGGCAGCCCCGGCGATCGGTCCGACATGGCTGGCGAGGGGGCGTCCAGCGGCGCCGGGCTGATGGAGCCGGCGCCGGCGCGGGCGCTGGTGCCCGTGACAGCGCGGAAGCCGCGCGGGCGCCCGCTGGGGTCGAAGAACAAGCCAAATCCGCCGGTGGTGGTGATGCGGGAGAGCGAGGCGGCGATGCGGCCCGTGGTGCTGGAGCTGGCGGCGGGCTTCGACGTGGTGTCCGCGGTGGCCGCGTTCGCGCGCACCGCCGCGTGGGCGTGTCCGTGCTCTGCGGGCGCGGCGCTGTCGCCGCCGTCACTCTGCGCCTCGCGGCGGGCACCGCGGCCGCGGCCTCCGCGGTGACGCTACACGGGCGGTTCGAGGTGCTTGCGCTCTCCGGGACCGTGCTGCCGTCGTGGTGCAACTCCGGTCCCGGCCACGGCCCCGCGCCGGCGTTCTCGGTGTCGCTGGCTGGGCCGGCGGGCAGGTAATCGGCGGGACCCTGGCTGGGGAGATGACCGCGGCGGACGGGGTGGTCGTGGTGGCCGCCGTGTTCAGGACCGCCGAAGTGCACCGGCCGCCCGCTGCTGGCGCGGAGGACGGGGACGGGGACGGCGGCGGTGGAAGGGAGGAGTGGAGGCATCCGCATTCGCAGCAGCAGCTGCAGGTGGCGGAGGCGGCGAGCGCCGGCGACGTGGGGGACTGGGTGGCTACGGCGGCGGCGGCGGCCACGTGGGCCAGCACGCGGAGCAGCTGGCTGACATAGGTCTGTGGGGCCAGCATCCGACGCCCACTCGCGGACCGGTCCACCACCCTCTGTCCCGCTTCTAGAGGCAGGCACGCGTGCATGGCATGGCAGCACCGCCACCGCCGCAGCATGGCGTCGTTGCCTTGGTTGGCCTGTGCTGTGCGTGTGACGTTCGGTTTGCCCGGTCACGTAGACCGGGAAGACACCTCCGTTTCTGCTGCCTTGCTGTTACTGGGAGAGGAGTTTGTGGTGTATTTGGCGTAATGGCGTATCGTAACTGGCTGTGATGCGTCGTCGGGTAGTACGTAATACAATGTAGTAGTATGTATGTACTCCTGCTACTGGGTGAAATTGAAAAGCTCTGGGTAAGGGCTTGCTTGATGTCCATGTATCCTTTCCAATCAGTTTGTGGTAGAGTGGTTTCTTGTGGGATTTAGACTAAATTCCAAACCAAATTAATTTTAACATACGTATATGGATTGAGATGGATCACGCACATACAAACGAAGTTTTCAAATGTTCTGTACCTGTACCTGCGCACATGATAGTAGCATGCTGTAGGGCGGGATATACTAGGACTACGAGTTTTCTTTCTAACTCAGGGCCTGTTTAGATTCCAAAAATTTTTGCGTAGTATTCGTCACATCGAATCTTGTGGCACATGCATGGAGTACTAAATGTAGATGAAAAAAAAACTAATTACATAGTTGGGTGAGAAATCGTAAGATGAAACTTTTGAACCTAATTAATCCATAATTAGATACTAATTACCAAATACAAACGAAATGCTAAGGTGAGCCAAAATCCAAAAAAATTTGGATCTAAACGGGGCCTTACAGTGATGTAGGGATCCATCGACATTTATCGTTATCAATCTCTACTCTATCAGTCTGTTTGTTTCGGCTTATACGATCGTGGATTATAAGGTGGAATAATATTTTTCTCTCACACCAAACCAACCAGCAGTACTTCTGACTTATAATCCACGATCGTTTTAGCCGTTTTAGCCGAAACGAACAGGCCGTACGTTGTCGAATGGCACTGTTGATGTTGTTGGTTCGCACTGTAAAAACCAGAATTGCGATACATCTTTTGTAGGAGTAGTAAGTACTACTCGTGATGGAATCTCGGTCGGGTCCAGCTCTGGACAGGCGAAGGTAGGAGTAGTAGGCGAGTAGGAATACAGTAGCTGCGTGCGATGCGAAGCACGACGATACAACATGTGTGCCGTGCCGCTGTATTTTTCTCTGGAAGATGCGAGTTTGTGCTGTTTCCGATGCATAAATCCCATGCAAGATGTAAAGCTCCTTGCGTTAGTTTGATCTCCACCAACCGCTAATTGTGCCCTTGGCTCCGTGTCCTCATCGGGGGCACCCAATCGCTGTATGGTTGGTGGGCCCCCGTCGCACAGCACCATAAAAGAGAGGTGGGGCCGGGGCACAATGTACGAGGTTCCTCTGAGACATCAGATGCCCCACCGATGTTCTAACCCTATCCGATCTAAAGAGAATGGTGCTGCCAGCGACGGGAAGTCCCACCAACTTCACGGTCGCCTCTGCAGTGCCACCGCCGGGACGCTGCACCTCGCCTTGTCGTCGGGCACTGTCACTGCACTTCATCTCCGGTCGCTGCGGGCGCACTAGCTACCAAGGTACACTAATGAGATGTTTATACCCGCTAGATCTGAAAATTTCTATCAATGGTACAAGAGCCAGGCTTTCTAGGGTGTAGATCTAGTTTGGGGTAGAAAATAGAAAAGAAATCAAGAAAGAA